ACACACCACTGGTTTTGAGAACAGTAGCTACACACACAACACAACTTACCACCTTCCATTTCATAATTTCTAGAAAACTGAAACCCTAAACTAAAATTATGACTTCGACATTCCATAGTTCTCGAAATTATCTTGTATTCAACACAAAAACCATGAAAATCCATCAAGTGGTTGATTCAGAATCGTGAAATAAAAAACCCCTGTCACCTTTTAATATCTATACTATTATATAAAATTGAGATGGTGTGTGTTTGTGTGTCTGTCTGCTACTTTATAACGCAAAAACCACTGAACCGATTCAAATAAAATTTGTATGAAGGTAGCTTATATACCTGGTTAGCATATAGGCCTACTCTTTTTATCATATTCCCCTTGAGCCACACCCCATGGGCTTCCAAAGTTTCAATGTTTACATTTTGGAACGATGTAAATAGTCAAAAATATTAATTGAAGTCACCTGTAAATACTATAATTTGACAGTTCAAATAGCAGTGGTTAAGAGGTACAGGTTCTGCTCTCAAGATTCTAAAGCTTCATGATTATGATAATAGTTTGATTAAAATATTTATGAAAATATACTTATTTTCATGGAAACAGAAGGATTTTATACATTACAATGTATACATTTTTTGAATAATTTTGATATGGTAGCTTTTTGTTTACAAATTAGAACTGATAAACAAATGTTTGGATCAGGATTTTAATAGGTTTTAAAAACTAAGAGATACCATATATGTACAGTTTATAAAATTTAACTGACTCAATGTTTACACTTATTTGTGCTTTAATAAAATTTACAAACGAAATTTCAACTATACCTACCTACTTTTATTCTGTCCAGAGGTAGCTACTACTTATATTTTCTTCTATAATCTACTTCACATTCGTTTTTTTTTACATTTACAGAAACCTCCTTAGTAGTTTATTTTTTTTTATTTTTTTTATTTTTTTTGCCAACGGATTTACACTAATTTTACAGTTTGATTGAGTTGTAAATTGCTCATTATGACTAGATAATCCATAATAATAATAACAATGAAAGGAATGTCAAATGTAACAATAATAAGAGTAAAGTATACATGTGAAAAACTTGGACAAAGAGAGAACTGAGTAACGATAGTAGTTGTGTTTTTACAGCCCTGCTTTAATTTGACTATGGAAAATATCACAAAACTAAGCTGCACGCAATTCACTTATGTTTCTAAAATCAATTCAATATCTGTAACATAACTATGTTTCTTTAGTCAATGTTTTAAACGATGATTTAAATACAAATACATACACGTTTTGAACTATGGAACGAGTTAAAATAATAACTTATTTGTTTTATGTTGTCGATTTATACTCAAAATTGATTAAATTTGTGCCTGATTAACAATAATAGTGGTTGGCTGTCTAGTAAAAGGTAATACAAGTTTTCAATTAGTTAATTTTTTCTTATTATTGTGATATATACACACTGATCTGCAGGTAAAGATTGAACTTTGAAAAAAGCTCAGTTGCTACGGTAAAACATATCAATTATATGTGAAATCATTATAAACTATTTTTTTCTTTACTACAGTTCCTTAACTTGTACGATTATTTTTCCTAGATTACTTTATATGTACGTTTTTCAACGAAATAAATGTTTAAGTAAGCTTCTAGCGGATAGACGCACTAAAACAAATCAATCTAGTAAAAGGTCATTTAATTTACAGAGAATAGTTAAGTAGTGTAATCCACTAGATTCAAATCAGAAAAACTGTTGTTAAAACTGTTGTTACCTAGGTTGCTAGGATAACAAAAAAATAAACAAATGATTAAAGTAAATACAGAACACATGGTTATTGTGTTAGACAGTTTAGTGGCACCACATTAGCCCCCTGCGGAGTCTGGAAGACCGGTCACTTTAAATTTCACAGTACGACCAGATCGGGTCACGTAAGGCTTGGGTTGGCTTGAGAGTAGGGTCTTGAGTGGGAACACTGTGGAGGGTGGATTTCTGGAATGTTTATTATGGATGGGTGTATGTGTTGAAGGAGTAAGATCTTGCAATAGATACGCGGGCTTTACTCTGTCCAACGTCACCTTCACACGTTTACCACGATGGATTATAGTCATAGCTTTATCATCACGAGATACCACGGGAAACGGTCCAGTATAAGGTGGTTGTAGTGATCGTCTAACAGAGTCATCTCGCAAAAATATGTGAGTACACCGTTTTAACTCCTGAAAAACGAAGGTCTTTGGTTTATCATGCCAAGATGTGGGCACAGGTCTTAAATTTGACATGTGTCGACGTAAGCGAACTACATAGTCAGCAGGGTCCTCCTCATGTCTTGTGTCTTGAGGTAGGTCTAGAAGTTCTCCAGGTAGACGGAGTTGGTGGCCAAAAACTAATTCGGCAGTAGATGCCTGAAGGTCTTCACGATATGCGCTGCGAATGCCGAGTAGTACAATGGGAAGTGCTTCAAGCCATGTTGAATCATTGTGGCACATGAGAGCTGCCTTAAACTGCCGATGGAATCTCTCGACTAAACCATTAGCACAAGGGTGATAGCCGCAAGTTCTGATTCGCTCTACACCGAAGGTCTTTCCAAGGGCACGAAATAATGCTGACTCAAATTGGCGTCCTTGATCAGTTGTGATGCGCAAGGGTGAGCCGTAACGGGAAAACCAGCACATCACCAGAGCCTCAGCTACTTCTTCTGCGGTGATGGTTTTCAATGGATGAACTTCTGGCCATCTGGTGTAGCGGTCGATAGCTGTTAGGCAATATTTGTATGGTCCGGATGGTGGAAGTGGTCCAATGATGTCAATGTGAACATGATCAAATCTTGATGATGGGAGTGAAAACGATCCATGGGGTGTAAATACATGACGGGAGATCTTAGCACGTTGACATTTCTCACAGGCTCGGGTCCAGTTTCGACAGTCTTGTTGAATTCGGGGCCAAACAAAGCGATTAGAAACAAGTTTTGCCGAAGCTTTGATGCCAGGGTGACTTAGATTGTGTATAGAATTAAAAACTGAGCGTCTAAGGGGCTCAGGGACAAAGGGTCGTTGTACTGAAGTTGTTGTGTCACAGTATACATCAAGGTCTGTTCCAGGAATTTTGACAAGCTTCAAATTAAGAGATGTCTCTCCCTTAAGGATCTCTTGTAGCTCAGGGTCAGAGTCTTGATGATGTGCCAAAGTTTTGGCATCTACAATGCTGGGAGCCGTAGTTGACAATGAATCTACACGAGAAAATGCGTCAGCTACTAGGTTGGCCGATCCAGAAACATGTCTTATGTCTGTAGTGAATTGTGAAATGAATGTTAGTTGGTTTTGCTGAACAGGAGGTAGTTTTTCACGTTTTTGACTGAAGGCAAATGTTATTGGCTTGTGGTCTGTGAAAACTATGCAATGATTTGCCTCAAGGTAGTGACGAAAGTGACGAATGGCGGCATATACAGCGAAAAGCTCACGGTAATAGGCTGGCCAAAGGGATTGTTTTGGTGTCAGTTTCTGTATAAATAAAGAGAGAGGTTCCCATGTTTTGTCAACCATCTGCTGGAGAGCAGCTCCTACATGGGTACTCGAGGCATCACAGAACAATGCGAGAGGGGCCTTGTGGTCAGGGTGAACAAGCAAGGTAGCATTGGAGAGATGTTCTTTGCAGGATAAGAATGCAGTATCCAATTCAGGAGTCCAATTTACAGGTTGGTTTCCACGTAGAGACGAGAGGGCATCATGGAGAGCTGCTTGTTGCTTGGCTGCTGAAGGAATGAATCTGCGGTAGAAATTCAACATGCCGAGAAAACGACGCAAACCTTTTGCAGTAGAGGGACGGGTGAATTGTTGCAGAGCCTCAACACGTTCAGGAAGTGGTCGAGTACCAGCAGATGATACCTCATATCCTAGGAAGGTAACCTTTGTAGCTTTCAAAACAGTCTTATTTACGTTAACGAGTATGCCATAATCAGAAAACCGATTGAATAGAGTTCGTAGATGGGCTTCATGTTCAGTCTCATCCTTAGAGAAAACTAATACGTCATCTATATAAGGAAAGCAGAAGTCTAAACCAAAAACTACTTCATCGATGAAACGCTGAAAAGTTTGTCCTGCGTTTCGGAGGCCAAAGGACATGAAGGGGAATTCAAACAATCCAAAGGGGGTTGTAATGGCTGTCTTCGGGATGTCTTCAGGGTTGACAGGGATTTGTGTGTAGGCCTTCACTAGGTCGATCACAGAGAAATACTTGCAACCTCTGAGAGAATGGGTGAAATCGTGGATATGTCTAACAAGATATCTGTCAGGAATAGTCCTAGCGTTGAGAGCACGGTAGTCTCCACAGGGGCGCCATCCATCAGGTTTCTTAGGGACCATGTGAAGGGGTGATGACCAAGGTCCATCAGATCGACGTGCAGTACCATCGGTGAGCATAGCATCAAACTCGGCTTTGGCTATAACAAGCCGATCAGGGGCGAGTCGACGTGGACGAGATGAAACTGGGGGGCCAGGGGTCGTTTTGATGTAATGCAAGGTTGAATGGAGCACTTTTCTTGGTGTACCAGAGGGTCGGGTAATCATGGGAAATTCTGCCAGTATTGATGAAGTTGGAGAATTGGGTGTGATAGTTTTTATGCTGAAATGAGGGATTGAGGTACATTAACAAAGAACAGAAAGGTTTGTTACACTGTCAATCAACCGTTGATTACGACAGTCAGGAAGCAATCCAAAGTGTGCTAAAAAGTCAGAGCCTATAATCGCTGTATTAACATCAGCAATGACAAAATTCCATGTAAAAGCTCGTCTCAGCCCTAAGTTTAATGTTAATGTCATCATACCGTAGGTGTGAATGGCAGAGTTGTTTGCTGCACGAAGTTCATATTCTATATGCTTTTGGTTCTTACAGACGAATGATTTAGGGAGGCAGCATATGTCGGATCCAGTGTCAATCAAAAATTTTGTATTAGTTGTACGGTCGACGATTTGTAGGCGGCGCCCTCCAGCTTGGCAGTCAGCTGACGCCATCACTGGCTGCCTTTGGAGTTTGTCGGAGAAGTGAAATTGCATGGTGGAATGCACTTCTCAGCTTGATAGCCAAAACGCTTGTGGTACCAGCATAGATTGGTTTGCTCTGTAGTGTCAGAGGAGCTACCTGCGTGATAACGACTACTAGACAAACTCCTCTGACGTGACCTAGGTCGCCTGTCACGTAGGGAATCAACATCTTTACGCATATTTTTCATTTGCAACTCCAAAGCAGATAATTTTGATAAAACTTCAGTTAATTTTGGGTCATCAGAAAATGAAGATTTAAGATTTGGTGAATTAACGGCATTCAAAGATGTAGGCATACTAGTGAGAGAATGGCAAAAAGATGCGTTAGGTTGGACTGCTAGAATTTTGTCGGCAGTAATTGCAAGTGTGTCAGTTTGGGCACTTATTTGGACTTGCAAAATACTTTGTACATGAGCAGGAAGTCTCTGCATCCAAATAGTTTTCAGTAAACTATCTTGGATTGTGGTCGAACCTACTAGTGATCGAAGGTGGCGTAGGAACTGAGAAGGAGTTTTGTCACCTAGTTCCTCCTCCATCAATAGCTGACGAATGCGTTGCTCCTCAGATAGAGACAACCGTCTGATTATTTCAGACTTAAGAGTAGAGTAAGGAGTTTCAACAGGTGGATCTATTATAAGATCCTCCACTTCATTAGCATAGCGCTCATCAAGATGTGAAATTACATACGAGTATTTAGTTGTTTCACTCGTGATGTGAGCCAGTGTAAACTGAGCCTCAACTTGGGCAAACCAGAGCCTTGGTTTCTCTTTCCAGAATGGTGGAAGTTTTATGCTTACCCGGTGGATGTGATGATCTTCATGTCGTTCGTCGGAATGGGCTGTATGATCTGGCTGATGCTGTGGTAGAACTGGTGGAAGATCAGGTAGGTTGGCTTCTTGAGGATGTACAGAAATGTGATTTTGTTCTTGTCTTCCATTCAAATCTTGAAGTTGTCTTTGTAGGTTGGCATTCTCACTCTCTAATTGAGCTAGGCGCTCCAAAAGTTCTTGGTCCATGGCGTAAAACGATAATTTGGGGAAAGGTGAAAAATAAATGAAGTTTTGGTAGAAGGTTGAATATTAATGTAGGAAAAACATCAATTTAGTTTGAAATAATTTACTTGTTAGTCGGGGTCACCATTTCTAGCGGATAGACGCACTAAAACAAATCATTCTAGTAAAAGGTCATTTAATTTACAGAGAATAGTTAAGTAGTGTAATCCACTAGATTCAAATCAGAAAAACTGTTGTTAAAACTGTTGTTACCTAGGTTGCTAGGATAACAAAAAAATAAACAAATGATTAAAGTAAATACAGAACACATGGTTATTGTGTTAGACAGTTTAGTGGCACCACAAGCTTATCATTTGAAAATTGAATCGTATGGGTACATTATTTCCATAAATGCATCAGTGCCTCAAATAATTCGTACTAGCATTGACTAAGGAAACTAGGCAGCCTTATAAGTTAGCCTAAAGAAAGATATTTTTTTAAACTAAGAGTTTCAATTGAGTTATGTTCCAGAAAACAAAGAGGAATGTGTAACTATTTCATACAACAGAATTCAAGATCAAATTTTTCGCTTCAGTGTCCTCTCCGTTGCGAAGCACGGGTACAAAAGCTAGTATATGATATGACGATGATGATTATGATTATGATGAGTTTAAATAGTATCTATTGCTCATATGTTTTAAGGTAATTTAAATACGTATAGTATACTTATTGTTTCCTATATTTTTTATAATACGTACATCGTATCCAAACTCATGAAATTATTATAACAAAAAGCAACAAACATGGGATAGGGATAACAAAATCTGTCCGACTAAAACTTTTCATCTGTGCTATAAATACACATAAATACCCCCACCGCAGCAATCTTGCAGACTAAGCATTTTCCATTTGCCTGATTTGATTCACACTAAAATTTCTCCTTAAAAATATCACATTTATATTAGTTAAACGTGTACTTAGGTTTGATGCAACAGGGAGGGTAAAAAGTATTTTTTTTTATAGTTTAGTAAGATATGAATGCATTTTCCAAATTTGATCAAAATATGTCCATAAACAAGCAAACAACATTTTACTCATTCCCCATAAGAATAACATGGGAATTTTAAATTTAAATTTTTTTGGAATTTTCTCCATAACCATTAGGCGCATAATAACGCTTCAATATACTAAATAAATTATTTGTTTTTTTTAAATTTCTACAAAGAGATTTTGGAAAGAAATTAATAAATGTTATGTTTTTTTGGGTCAAAAATGGGAAAACATAATTTTTACCCCATAAACCATCATCATTTTTGCTCGCGTTGCCGTGCTAACGGACACAGATATATATATATATATATATATATATATATATATATATATATACTAGCAGAGTACCCGTTCTTCGTACGGGGCTGACGTATAAGTATAAAATGCTTATTGCAGTTATACTCGAGCTTTGCGTTTACAATGAGGGAGGACACAATGTGATAAAATTTGCTTACTTAAATTTACGGTATACTATTATAGTACATATTACACATTTACGATAGCCATAATGTCCTACCACTTCACCTAAACAATAGACAAAAATCAATTACAAAAAATTTTCAAAATATCACAAATTATTCATGAAATTAAAAATATAAACATAACTGTAAACAATCCTACTTAAACAGTTCTCATTGCGTATCACAGTTGTTCGTTGCTGTTTAGTTCAATAGCTGTTTTCATGAATGAAAAAAAAATAATAGTGCTGCACCCTGTTGGTAAATCTTATAACTTTTTAATGCTTTTGCATATCATAGAACCAACTTTGTTAGTTGTAACAGCTGACTAAATTCTTTAATTCCCTTTAAATAGGTACTCAAAAGGTTAACATGGTGAACTACAGAGCCATTGGGGCGGAGCCCGAAAGGGTTTTTGAGATAAGAATATGCCTATATGTTAATCGGGAATGTGAGCTATCATCATGCCAAATTTAAGCCCAATCCGTCCAGTAGTTAATGCGTGATTGACCTTCAAACAAACAAACAAACACACACACAAACGTTCACATTAATTTATAATATTAGTAAGACGAGCTGAGCTGTTCGCCCGTCCTACGTACGGGAATCGAGAAGTCCATTAAAACTGTATATAGTTATATCAATATGTCTATTACTAATTCAAGCTTAGTCTAATCAGTCATAATTTATTGTAAAGTAAAAATTGCCAAGATGAATTAAAACATGTAATCGTTGTTATTTTCTCAACTTTTCCTCAAAAAGTGGAGTAGTAAAATAATTTTTATAAGCTTTCTTTTGAAGCTTTGATTTGTACACAGTAATGGTTATAAAATCTTATCAATGACAAAATCACAGAGTAAATAAACTAACTTCATAGTTCTATAGAATATTTTTATATTCAACCAGCTGTTATTTTAACAAATTAATTGCACTAAAACAAACTAAAGATTTTAAAGACTGCTAAAAAAAATAAATGTTAGAACACCTAGTATTTTACTATGTATATTTAAATTACCTCTCATCCTCTTACCGAATAAAAGCTTCAATGATTATAGCATTACACATAGTATAAATAAGTCAACTCTACGTATGTCATTTCATTTTCGTCTAAATGCTGAATTTGTGTTGAAAACGCTGAATCTTTACAGCTGACACGTTAAGCAAATGGTATTATACCAAAAGCTAGAGTAGAATGTTAGCGTCGGCTGCTAGACTTTTTAAAATTTAAAACTTAATTTTAAAAAACTGAAACCCTAAATTAAAATTATCGCTTCGACATTCCATAGTTCTAGAAATATTTTTTCATTCAACACAAAATCATGAAAATCTGTCGAGTGGTTGGTTCAGAATCGTGAAAGAAAAAAACCCTGTCACGTTTTAATATATATCCTATTAATAATATACATTATAAATGAGAAAGTTTGGACGTATACAAACTATATGTATGTATGTATTTTTGTGACAAGCAAACGCGAAAAATACTGGTCGGATCGGGCTGAAATTTTGTGTGATGATAGCTCACATTCCCGATTGACATATAGACGCATTCTTATCTCAAAAGTCCTTTCGGGCTCCGCCCCAGTGGCTCTGGAGTTTCTCATGTTAACCTTATGATTAATCATATTTAAAAAGAATAAAAAAATTTTGTCAGCTCTTTCAACTGCACAAGTTAATTCTATGATATTAAATAGCGTTAAAAAGTTATAAGATTTACCAACAGGGTGCAGCACTATTACACTTTTTTGAATTTGAACCAACTAGTAACAAAAAGCTGTGATATACAATGAGAACTTTACTTTATATATTGTTTAGTTGCAGTGGTAGAACATTATGGCTATAGTAGATGTGCTATGCTATACTATAATATACCGTAAATTAAAAGAACAAAATTTTCTTAAACCATGTCCTCTCCCATTGCAAACGCAAAGCCAAGTATAACTGCAGTAAGCATTTTATACTTAGACGCCAACGCCGTACGAAGAACGGCTACTCTGCTAGTAATCTATATATTCATTACGTAAGCCGATTTTTTGCGTCAACATTGTGGGCGACTGGGAAGTCTGAAAATGCTGGGAGAGGGCTCAAATTAAAGGTCTTGATCCCGTGACGGCGGGAAAAATAGTGAAATCCCTATAATTTTAACACAAAATTAGACATAACGTAAAATGTTCTCCATAAGAATAGCATTAGAAGCCATTTACTGCTGATTTTTGTTTACTTCAATACAGCTGATCGTGTATTATCATTAAGCCAGTAAGCAATATTACATTTGGATTACTCATTTGCCAGATAATTCTGCAATTAGTGCAATTTACTGTAACCATGGATAACGTTACCTATTACAATTAAGACTTTTAGTTACGTATTATAAAGTTTAAATAAATGATTTTACTGTGAAAGCTTTCATATTTGTGTATTTTTAAGCGTATGATAAGTAGTAGAATCATGGAAGCTGGCTCAAACCACAAGAAGTGAGCTTACAATGGCTGAATAAACATTTTAATTTAAAGGTTATTGTTGTGTTGAAGAAATGTTTAACATGAAATAAGCAAATTGTCTAAACAATAAACGATTCAAGATTAAATTGAGAACATCTGCTTTGTTTCAAAACATATGTTCAAGATTTATTCCACACTTTCTTTGTAAATTTACTAATCTTTTTAATTAATTTGTGATTTATTGTAGTGTTTAATCAATATTTTGAATAGGAATAACCTCAAAGGCTTCTCTTAAAAAATGACCTGAGAATAAAGATGAAATAGGTTCGTACAAGAAATATATTTGTTAATTAATAAGTAAATACTATGGTTCCATTGGACAGAAATACAATGTTGTTTGGAGGAGATTTTTAACAGGTACTGTCTGTTGCTCAAAGATAAAACTAAAAAAGGTTTAAATAATATAGCCTAGCATGTACAGTATATATAGTAAAGAGAGCATCCGTATATAACAGTAAAACCGAAAGATAGTTTCCATTTCTTTAGTTTTCTTTTTTTAACTAACCAAAAATATGCAAGTCTGCAAAGATGTACTGCTGAAAATAAATTTCGTGATTGGTTTTGATTATTTGGTAATGGAACCCTAACCATTAGCAAAATAGTAAGTAATCAGGTGTTGATAAGCCCTTTTTTATAGAAGGAGAAATGTCGTTATTTTGTAACCATCATAGCAAACTGTTTTTAAATGTAATCTAAGACTTTCTCTGTGGTATTTGATCAGTAGTTGTCATCATCTGATTTTTTCCTTTGTACTGTGTTTAGGTCGTGGCTTTATTTTAACATATGCTATGATTCTTTGTTTTGTTTACATTTACGTCGTTATTTTGTAACCATCATGGCAACCCATAAGACCAATGTTAAAGTTTTAAAACTTTGAGTTACTTTAATAAAATAATATAGATATTATCGAAAATTGAAATTTGTTACGTCTAAACCATCCAACCATTTGACAAAACAACCTAGGTAAGTTTGGCTAAAATGTGTTCAGCTGTTATTGAGATTAATTGTTATAATAACG